GACAGGCAGTGCAAGGGCACAGAGATGGAGCTGAAGCATCGTGGATGAAGAGTAGAAAGTAGATCAATAGCAGAATGTAAGAAAACTGGAAAGAGAGGAGGGGGCCAGACTGTGAAGAGATCTGAAGGCCAAACAGAGGGCTTCAGGTTGGACAGCTGAGGAAACAGGAAACCTGAACAGGCTGGCTGGTTGGTTGGTCTCAAAGAGGACCTATTGTGGCTGGACCTAAGCTTCAGGAAGATCGTTTGGTCCCCTGAGTGCAGACTGGATTGGAGTGGAGAGAGACTGGAGGCAAACAGCTTCCCCCCCTTCCTCTCCCCCCCGCAAGCTATTGCAATAGTCTAGGTGCAATGAGGGCCTGCACCAGGGCAGGGGCAGAGTCAGAGGGGAGGAGGGGGCAAATTACAGAGATGGTGCAGAGGTGAAATTGACAAGAGATCATGCAAAGGGGAAATTGACAGGCCTGGGCACCATATTGGAAATGGGAGTGGGGGTTCAGAGTGAGTGAGGAGTCCAGGATGACCCCTGGGGTGGGAGCCTGAGGGACTGGGAGGATGGCAGTGCCCTCTACAGTGATAGGGAAGAAGAGGAGGAATTTGGCAATAAGGGTAAAGAATTCTGTTTGGGGCATGTTGAGTTTGAGATACCTGTGGGACACCAAATTTGAAGATCCCGATAGGCAGCTGTAGGTGCACGATTGTTGCTCAGGAGAGGCACTAGAGCTGATACATGGCTCTGCGGGTCATCTGCACAGGGATCATAATTGAATCCATGGGAGCTGATGAGATCCAATTTCATTTCAATTCAGTAAAAAATTTTAAGCACATACCACGTGCCAGGCACTGTGCTGAGTGCTGGGGACCCAAAAGGGGGCCAAAGACAGTCCCTACCCTCAAGGAGCTCACAATCTAATGGGGAGGGATGGAGAAGACACGCAATGCAGAATAAATACATACAAACCAAGCTATTTGTGGGGAAGTAGGAGATAATGAACAGAGAGAAGGCACTGGAATCAAGAGGGGCTGGGGCGCTCTGTCGTGGCTTCCTCCTCTTACTGGTTATGAGTCGTAAAGGGCAACAGAAGAGGGGGAGAAGGTAATCCCTGAGCTACATCTGCCTTGATGTCTGTGAATTTTCTTACACTAAATAAAGGAGGTTTTAGTAGGGGAAAAAAAGAAAGAATGCTTGCAGTGAGTGTGTGTGGCAAGGATGAAGATTCAGCAAAGGAGACCAGGAGTGGTCCAGCAGGCAGGAGGAGAACCAGGAGAAGGCAGTATTAAAAGCCCAGAGAGGAGAGAGCATTCAGGAGGAGGAGGCCATCAGTGGCATCAGAGGCCACAGGGAGGGTCGGAAGGATGAGGAAGCAATGGTAACTTTGGAGAGGTCCGAGCCAGATCATCAAGCGTGGAGAAGTGCTTGAAAGAGGAAGCAGAGGCACCGACCGTCAACAGCCTTCTCAGGGAGCTGGGTCAGTCACCAGTGGGCGAAGGCTGCGGTGAGGGTGCTTAGGGATCATGGCGACGCAGGTGTTCTTGGAGGCAGCAGACAAGGAGCCCGAGGAGGGCCAGGGGCCAGTGACGGGGACAGTCTGCTGGAGAAGGCGGGAGGAATGGGACCAAGGGAGCCAGCCTGCTGAGGAGCTGGCCTTGGCTACCTCTTCATCAGAGATGAGTAAAGGAGGGGGTCATGGGGAATCGTGTCAGGGCACATGAGATGAGAAAAGAAAAGGGGATTCTCAAGGAAGGGCTGAGAGGTGGCATGAGAGACTTGAGAGGTTTGGAGCCGCCACGGAGACAGATGGGAGAGAAATCGATGCAGTGAGACCAAAGGGCAGCTGTGAGGACCCAGCTGGTGAGATAGACGGTCAGCAGTACCGTGCCCCCCTCCTGCTGCATTCAGGAGCACTTCAGGAGAGGAGCAGGAGCAGTTTGGGGTTGGGATTTGTCATGTTAGGATAAGCTTGGGAGTACGTCGGTAAATATTTAACAACCACCTCTCTGGGACAGACAGTCCACAAAACAATAAATTGAGCCCTGGTGTGAATGCTGACACTGAGCATTTAACACTCAGCTCTTAGGAACTGGCCGCAGCCCCAACCCCTTTGGATGGGGCAGCGATGGATTCAAGGGCAGAGAATCGTAGAGCTGAATTGGTTTGCCAAGTCAAGGTTGGAAAGGGAGGAGAGCACGTTCAGGGCCCGAGGATGGAGGGAGCGAGGTGTCAGTAATGACCAAGAAGACGGGTGTAAACGCATCACCCCACAGGATGGTCAGCACGCCTGCACACGGAGCAGCCCCGGAGAACAAGGACACACTAGCATTGAGTCAGAGTGGGCGGAGGATGGGTAGTGATGAGAATGAGAAGAAGGGGGTTGGTCTGGTTTTGTTTTGAGCAACCTTGAGGAACAGATTAGGGTTAGGATGGGAAGACCGAGAATGGATGAAAGGCAGACCTCTTGTTTTCTTCCAAGGAGAATCGTTTTTGGGTTAGGAAGGTCAGGAGAGAAATGCTGACTGCTGAAGACAAGTGGGGATGCAGTAAGATCATTGTCCTGGATGGGCTCCGGTCACCTGGCCCAGGTGGATGTGCAAGGAACTGGCAGCTGGGATGGCTTCCTGGAATACTGGAAACCTGTGAGGATAAGAGAGGTGCTGCAGGACCAGAGAAGGGCACATCCCTGAAACAGGAGAGTGGACCCTGCAAAGGCTAGCTCAGCTTCTGATTCCTGGCAAAGTTCTCCAACAGACTCTTAAAGAAAAGGTCAGTGATCGCAGAGAGGCACCACAGACAGTGTGAGATGCAGCAATGGCCTTTGGGGCACGCTGACAAGGCAGGTCTCAGGGAACGCGGGAGGGAGATTCTAGATTGGAGCACGGCATTGGACGCTTAGAGTCTCTCCTGGTCTCCCCAAAGGCCGGACCTGTGCCGCTAGACACATTCCTGTGTGTCTCAAGGGCTGGGCACAGAGCAGGCCCTGGACCAGTTGAATTGTGGACTGGAGGAGGAAGTGTGAGAGGAGTGCTGTTACTCAGAACCGATGCAATGGCCAGGCTGTGACAGTGGTCACTCGGGGCCCACGGCTACTGCGGACAGAGCTTTCCTTGGGCTTGGACCACTGAACACTTGTGTCAGTGGCCATGACCGAAGCACATGTACACATCTACGGGTGGCCAGGGCTGGGAAGAGGAGCCCAGACGTGGCAGGACAGAGCTGGGATCCCCTGAGATCTTGACAGGCCAAAGCACTGACTGGGATCATAGAGGGATAAATGCACAGTCTTACCTCTGGATACCAAAAAGCCCAACTCGCCAAGTACAAGATGGGATCGGCATTTGTCTGAAAAAGACATGACTTTGTCCCACTGCACCTAACAAGGTGATTTGGCAACCAGTGGGCAAGTTACCTCATGAGCCTGGGCCCTGGTGACCTAATCTGTAAGATGGGAATAATGCTTCTTCAGGGAGGGCTTCCTGGAAGAGGCGGAACCTGAGCCTGACAGTGAGGGCAGGAAGGCCTGTAACTAGACAGATGGTGTGTGTGTGTGTGTGTGTGTGTGTGTGTGTGTGTGTGTGTGTGTATATTTCTGTGTCTGTGTGTGTGGTCTGTGTCTGTGCATGTGTCTGTATGTGTGTGTCTGTGTGTTTATGTGTGTGTTTGTGTCTTTCTGTGTCTGTGTGTTTGTGTATGTGTTTGTGTCTTTGTGTGTCTGTGTGTGGATAGGGGAGTGCTGGGAGATAAGGTTGGTGAGGCAGAAGGGGCCAGATGGCCAGGATCAGGAGTGTTCCCCTGTGCACTCAGGGAAGCCCCTGAAGCTCTCTGAGGGAGGGAGGGATGTGGTCAGAGCAGAATGTTAGAAAGATGATTTGGGCGGCGTATCCAGAGGAGATCAGGAGAGGGTCTGGGGGAGTTGGTTACGAGGTTGTCTGCTGTTGCTCAGGCATTTTCAGTCACGTCTAACTCTCCGTGACCCCATCTGGGGCTTTCTTGGCAGAGATACTGGAGTGGTTTACCATTTCCTTCTGCAGCTCATTTTACAGATGAGGAAACTGAGGCAAACAGGGCTAAGTGACTTGCCCAGGGTCACACAGTTAGTACCTGTCTGAGGCTGGATTTGATTTAGGAGGATGAGTCTTCCCGCCTCCAGGCCCAGGGCTCTGTGCACGCAGGGCCCCCAGCACCCCTTAGGGACTGCTACAGTCCCCTAGATTGGCAGACAGGGCTGAAGGTCGGCTCCTCTTGGGACACTGCGGTCCATCCAAACTGGCCTCCTTCCTATTCTCCACCCACCCATGCCTTCCATCTCCTCTCGCCCCTGGTCCTCTCCCCCAGCAGCAGGGACGGAGTCACTTTTGAGGCTTAGCAATGCCTAGTCATTGCTTGCTGATTGGCTGATTGCTATGGCGATGGAGTGGAGATCAGGAAGGCAGAATTAGGGGACCTAGTGACCAATTGGCAGGGGCGGGGCGGGAGGGGCTCAGGGCTTCCAAGGTCTGGAGCCCGAAGGCCTGGAAGCATGGCAGTGCCAGCAGCAGAGCCTGTGGGCAGAGGCAGGCGTTGCAGGGGATGCTGTGGCTTTTGTGCAGAGGAGAGCACGGAGGACTGAGGGATCTGAGTGGGGCTTGGTCAGGCAAGGAGGGCAGGGCGAAGCCTGGGTTGGGCCGCTCCCAGAGCTGGCTCTGAGGTCAGCTTCATGTGTGGCCTGGGGCGGGTCACTTAGTGCCCCATGGCCTCCGTCTGCCCATCTGGCCTTGATGGCCTCTGAGGTCTCCTCCAGCTCCAGCTCTGATCTGGCCTGTGGCTAGGGCCCCTTGGGGGATCAGGGAATTCATCCCTCAAGTAAATGCTTCTGGAGGCCCTGCTTGGTATGAGGCACCACAGCCCATGCTGGGGGGGAGGGAGGACATGGTCTCACACTTCTTCCCCCTCTTCCTCCCCCTGCCTCCGAGAGCTGGTGGAGGTGATGAGATGTGCCCACTGCCTGCTTGGTGTTTCAGGAGACAGTGACATTCAAGGATGTGTCTGTGGACTTCACCCTCGAGGAGTGGGGACACCTCGGCCCTGCTAGAGGGAGCTCTACAGGGAGGTGATGCTGGAGAACTACAGGAACCTGGTCTCCCTGGGTGAGGAAGCCTTCATCTGGGGCCTCAGAGTGGTGGGGATCCCAAATCAGAGCCTCTTCCTTGGACCCAGATCCTGGCAGTGTCCGCTCCCCTTCCCAGCCCCGCATGATCTCCTCCCTTCAGGGCTCTTCACACCACGGGCTGCATCTCCCTTTCCCCAAGACTAAGGAGCTCAGGATTCCATTAGTAGACACCCCGCCTCCCCCCCCCCACCAAAATACTCGGCCACATCCACTGTCCCTCTCTAGGAGCCGAGTGCCAAAGTGCCAAACCAAAGCTAATCTCCCAGTTGGAGCAAAGCAGAGAGTCGTGGCTGTTGGAAGAAGATCCGCATGGCCTCTGTCCAGGTGAGCAGAGCAGAAGGGAGGTATCAGTTGTGAGCTCCTTGAGGGCGGAGAGTGACCAACGGTGTCCAAGGCTGCAGAGAGGCCGAGGAGAATGAGGACTGACGGGGCAGCAAAGAGACCATCGGTAACTTTGGATGGAACAGTTTGGGTGGAATGATGAGGTTGGACACAGGCCGTAAGGGGTGAAGGAGAGAGTGAGAGGAGAGAAAGTGGAGGCCCTGACTGTAGGCGGCCTTCTGGGGGAGTTAGCACCAAAGGGCAGAAGGGTTAGCAGGGATGGAAGGATCAAGGGAGGGTTTCTTCAGGATAGCAGAACCATGGGCGTGTTTGTAGGCAGAAGGGATGGGCAGGTAGATGGGAGAGACAGAAAAGAAGTGAAAGAGAGTTTCCTATCTGCTCCATCGCCTGTGATGCGTGTGCCCCAACACCTCTTCCTGTCGAAGCCCAATTCAAGTGTCTCCTTTACCAGAGGCTGTTCACCTGAGCCCCTCCTCCTCAGCTCAGTGACTGGCTCCCCTCACTCCCCTCACCCTTATTCGGCACGCTGGTTTAATGGTTATTTGTCTTCTCTCTGACTCTGAACCAACTGAGAGCAGGCTCTGTGGGCTGTGTCACATCCAGATGCCCAACCCTGAACACAAGGCCCTGCACATCCCTGGCACCTAATGCCCATTGGCTGAATCAAATCTTCCCCTTGCACAAGGAATAGGAATCGTTTCTTTTTTCAATGTTTTTTCAGGTGGGTGCCCCAAGCCTGAGACTCTGAATTCAGTGCCTTACCAGGGTGTCTCTGAAAAACCATCCTCTCGGGAAGAAAGACTTGAAGGTCTCGGGAGAGATGACTCGTTGTACTTCAGCCTGAGAGACGCATCAGAGCACAAGGGCCAAGGAGCCCCACGGCAGGATAACCAGGACCCACCTGTGACACCAGCGCCCGCCATCCACAAAGAAATGCCCTCTGGGGAGAGAGGCTACACATGTAACACATTCATTAGACATCTGGGCCTGAGAAGCCTTGCCACAACACAGAGAGAAGCCCCATCAGAGGAGACATCCCTCAATCATGACAACAGGGGGAGCTTCCAGCAAAATTCAGGCACAGTTAAGCTTCAGAGAACCAGTGGAGAGAAAAGACCTTTTAAGTGTACTGAGTGTGAAAGGACCTTTCTTTATCAATCGGACCTTATTATACACCAGAGAATTCACACTGGAGAGAAACCCTACAAATGCAATGACTGCGGTAAAGCCTTCAGTAATAGTTCCTACTTTATTCAGCATCATATAATTCATACTGGAGAGAAACCTTACGCATGTAATATATGTGGGAAAACCTTCAGCCAGAGCTCATCCCTTACTGAGCATCAGCGAATTCACACTGGAGAGAAACCCTATTCATGCAAAGAGTGTGGGAAGGCCTTCACCCAGAGCTCATCCCTTATTAAGCACCAGCGATGTCATACTGGAGAAAAGCCCTTTAAATGTAAAGAGTGTGGGAAAGCCTATACCCAGGTTTCACACGTTGCACGACATAGAAAAATTCATACTGGAGAGAGACCCTATAAATGTAATGAATGTGGGAAAGCCTTTTTTCATACTGCGTCCCTTACTCAACATCAGGCAATTCATACTGGAGAAAAACCATATAAATGTAACGAATGTGGGAAAACCTTCAGCCATAGCTCGTCCCTCACTCAGCACCAGCGAGTTCACACTGGAGAGAAGCCCTATGAATGCGGTGACTGTGGCAAGGCCTTCAGCCACAGCTCCTCGCTCACTCAACACCAGCGGATTCACACCGGTGAGAAACCCTACGGGTGCAATGAGTGTGGGAAGGCCTACACCCAGATTTCACATCTTATGCGCCATCAAACCGTTCACATGGGAGAAAAGCCCTATATCTGTAATGAGTGTGGGAAGGCCTTCAGCCACACTTCGTCCTTCACTCAACATCTGACAGTTCACACTGGAGAGAAACCCTATAAGTGTAATGAATGTGGGAAGACTTTTAGCCAGAACTCATCCCTTACACGACATTTGAGAATTCACACTGGAGAGAAGCCCTACGTATGCAAGGACTGTGGGAAGCGTTACACTCAGGTTTCACATCTAATTCAGCACAAGAGAATTCACACTGGAGAGAAACCTTACCGGTGTGGTGAATGTGGGAAGGCCTTCAGCCGGAGCACACACCTTAATGAACATCAGAAGATTCATACTGGAGAAAAACCCTATAAATGTAATGAATGTGGAAAATCTTTTAGCCACAGCTCATCTCTTAATCAACATCAGAGGATTCATACTGGAGAGAAACCTTATGAATGTGATGACTGTGGGAAAACCTTCAGCCAGAGTATACACCTTATTCAGCATCAGAGAATTCATACTGGGGAGAAACCCTATGAATGTAATGAATGTGGAAAGGCCTATACCCAGATTTCCCATCTCCTTCAACATCAGAAAATTCATGCCGGAGACCTCCTATGAATGTAATGAGTGTGGGAAGGTCTTCAGCTAGAATGCACACCAGACTAAACATTAGATAAGGACCTTAGGAGTGTTTGAAAAAACCTCTCCATATAATTAACCTCTATTGCACAGTGAACTAGAAAGAAAATCTCTCCAGACATCAGAGATCCCATCCTGGAGAGTAACCCATGGAATGAATTTAGGGAAAATTCATTTCTGACCATTCCCTTTGATAAATCCCCTCCCCTCCAAATCTCCTCTGTCTCTGCACCAGTTTGTTACCAGGGATATCATAAGAGAAAAAGGTTCCTGCCCCAACCCTCCATCCAGCTTCACTGCCTCCATGTCAGTCCATTTGCTGCCACATAGAGGCAAAAAATCGCTTTCTTTGGACTGAGGGGAGAGGCTGCTCATCTGTGATCTGAGTAGCTCATGCTCCTAAGCTTTTTCAGACCCAAAGTAGAAAATGATTTATTGAGCCCATTGAGAGCATTGTGGAAAATGAACCTTTTAGAACTAATGAATATGCTCTATCTACATTAGAACCAGCAGTGAATGAGCTTTCCAGCACCTAGTGTTTGGTTTTATCTCTACCAGAAAGTGAAATTCTAGTGAAGCAGATTGCCCACGAGGCTCTCAATGGCACGCCCGCCCAGATGTCTGTGACAGGGGGAGTCCAGCCTGCACTCCTCTTCTTCATTTGCATCTCCAGTACTTGAATTCCTCTTTGCTGTCTTGTGCACCCTTCTCTTCTTGTGTCTTCCTTTCTTTAAAAAAATCCTTTCCCAGTGTTTTCCTGGTTTGTGTCATGTCAGGGGAGGGGAGTTTTCTTTTCATAAATTGTTGAGCTTAGACATTCCTCACTGCCATTTTTTCGGTGCTGTTATTGTTCCTCCTCTTGGTGGACTGTTCCCATGCTTGCCTTACCGACCATGGTGGATGATGGCTCCTTGGCCATTAAAATACATCATTTGTCATGCCCTTGGCAGCCAGCGGGCCTTCTCTGCATCTGAAATGCCACCCCAAAGTTGTTTTTGACTACAACACTTAACTCATTCACATTTGCACTCTTGTGACTCACTTGAATGCCAGAATCCACCTCCCCACACAAAGATGTTTCCATCCCTGTCCAAATCTCCAGATATCCTCCCACCACCACCCTAGAGGTTAGGGCTAGACAAAAATGGAATAGACTGCCTCTAGGAATCATAATCCCCTTCCCCACTGAAAGTCCTCAAGCAAAAAGCGGGAAGACCCTTTAGTTTGTTTCCAGGGGGATTCCTTTTTTTTTTAAAGGCAGTTGGGGTTAAGTGATTTGCCCAGGATCACACAGCTAGTAAGTATCTGAGGCTAGATTTGAACTCAGGTCTTCCTGACTCCAGGGCTGGTGCTCTATCTACTGTGTCATCTAGCTGCCCCAAGGGGAGATTCCTGATAGGTATAGGTTAGACAAGATGACCTATGAAGGCCCTTCAGCTTTGGGATTCTGGAATCCATGTTGGCCACTTAAGGTCCTGGATTGACTCCTACATTCCAGTGACTTTTCTCCTTTTCTTTCATAGGTTTATAAAATTTAGAGCCAGAAGGGCCCTAAGAGGTCATCTGGTCCCTACCCCTCATCTTACAGAGGCCAAGTGATTTGCCCAAGGTCTTACAAGTAGTAAGCGGCAGAGCTGAGATTCTAACCCAGGCCTCCAGACTCCAAACCCAGCACTCAGCCTCTGAGCCATGTTCCCTCTGGCCGTATTTTCCAGGTTATTCCTTCACAACCACACACCATGTAAGAAGCAAGCTTCCTCTTTGGCTATGTTGTCTCCTGCACTTGGGAAGCCATTTGTATTTAGAGATTCACATTGGAGTGGTGGGTAGTGGAGCCACTACCAGTGGAATTTGTATCTTTGGCAGCCTTACGGTTGCATCTTCTACAAATGGTTTCATGCATTGTTCTTTTTGTTGTTGTACAAGCCTTGTTTGTGTCTTTGCCCAGTCTTATGTCATGAGGTCACAGATGCCTTGATGCCTCACTGAGACATGGAGGTGACCCTTGGTCCTCAGACTTTGGCCCAGGAGCTCTGGCAGGTTTGGAACATGAGTCATCTAGCAGTGAACTGCATGTCTGTCACTGGGGGACTGAAGTCTCAAAACACTCAAAGAGCATTGTCACTAAGCTGGCTGGAGTGATGAGGGTTTTTTCAGCTCTAGCAAATTATGTATTATTGTTTGCTGAGGCCTAGAGGGCTCAGAATCTGTACCAGGGGAAGTTCCACCCACACCAACCAAATTGTGCATCCAGTGGAAAAGACAAAGGCGTGACATAGGAGGTCAGAGCTGGGAAAGACCTTAGAGAGAGGGAGAAACTGAGGCTCAGAGACGGAAAGAAATTTGCTTAGGGTCACACAGCTAGTGGGTGGCAAAGCTAGAACTAGAACCTGGGTCTTCAGTCTCACCCCAGTGCTCTTTATGCACTGCCATGTTGCTTCTCAGACAGCCTAAGGTTGGATTCTGGCTCCTCCACTTATCAGGGGCAGCTAGATGGCACAGTGAATAGAGTGCCAGGTCTGGAATCAGGAAGATCTGGGTTCAGATCTGGCCTCAGATATTAGCTGTGGGGCCCTCAGCAAGTCACCTAACCTTATTTACCTCAGTTTCCTCATCTGTTAAAAAAGATGGATAATAATAAGCACCTAGCTCCCAGAGAAATTATGAGGATAAAATGAAATAATAAATATTATAATAATAAATAATAAAGCTTTTAGCCGTGTCTGGCACATAGGCGCTATATAAATGTTAGCTATTAATATTTTTGCTAGCTTTATGACTTTGAACAATTCCCTTACTCCCACGGTGAGCCTCAGTTTCCTCATTTGTCAAATAAGGATAATGATAATGCTTATACTACCTACCTCACAAGGTTATTACAAGGCTTAAGCAAGACAATGTGTGTAAAGTGCTTTATAACCATAAAGAACTATGTAAGTGTAAGTGTTCTTGTAGCCTTCTTTTGAGCATCAGACATTTTGGAATACTGCAGAATCTAAGAAGTTATTGCAACCTTGCATCAGTCTTTCTGTTTGCATCTTCTTTCAATCGATCCATGTTCTCTCCCATGTGGGTCCATTCCCTCTGTTAGTGCAGGTTACAGCATACCGACCTCTTCATATCCTGTCTTTCTCCTGTCTGTCTTCCCAAATACTCTTGGGGACCAGCAGAGGTGGTCTATCTATCGTCAGCCTCACTCTCGGGTCCTCCCAAACACTCTTGGGTACCAGTAGAGGTGGTCTATTTGTCGTCAGCCTCACTCTCACCCAAACACTCTTGGGGACCAGCAGAGGTGGTCTATCTATCGTCAGCCTCACTCTTGCCCAAACGCTCTTGGGGACCAGCAGAGGTGTCTATCTATCGTCAGCCTCACTCTCAGGTCCTCCCAAACACTCTTGGGGACCAGTAGAGGTGTTCTATCTATCGTCAGCCTCACTCTCGGGTCCTCCCAAACACTCTTGGGGACCAGTAGAGGTGGTCTATTTGTCGTCAGCCTCACTCTATAGTCTTTCCAAACACTCTTGGGGACCAGTAGAGGTGGTCTATTTGTCGTCAGCCTCACTCTATAGTCTTTCCAAACACTCTTGGGGACCAGCAGAGGTGGTCTATCTATCGTCAGCCTCACTCTTGCCCAAACACTCTTGGGGACCAGCAGAGGTGGTCTATCTATCGTCAGCCTCACTCTCGGGTCCTCCCAAACACTCTTGGGGACCAGTAGAGGTGTTCTATCTATCGTCAGCCTCACTCTCAGGTCCTCCCAAACACTCTTGGGGACCAGTAGAGGTGGTCTATTTGTCGTCAGCCTCACTCTATAGTCTTTCCAAACACTCTTGGGGACCAGTAGAGGTGGTCTATTTGTCGTCAGCCTCACTCTATAGTCTTTCCAAACACTCTTGGGGACCAGTACAGGTGGTCTATTTGTCGTCAGCCTCACTCTATAGTCTTTCCAAACACTCTTGGGGACCAGCAGAGGTGGTCTATCTATCGTCAGCCTCACTCTTGCCCAAACACTCTTGGGGACCAGCAGAGGTGGTCTATCTGTGGTCAGCCTCACTCTATAGTCCTCCCAAACACTCTTGGGGACCAGCAGAGGTGGTCTATCTATCGTCAGCCTCACTCTCGCCCAAACGCTCGGGTACCAGCAGAGATGGTCTATCTGTCTTCAGCCTCACTCTCAAGTGGTGACTTGCCCACCTCTGTTTCCAACCTGGATGACATCCCTTACTCTGCTCCTTGGACCCTTCAGAGATTGTGGGGTTTGATGATTCACAGCTCACTGGCCTCCCCAGGAGAATGCTGTCTATGGTTTTTTGTGTTCGGCAACAGCTCAAGATCATCACTCAGGGATCCCAGGTGCTCCTATCTCTCACCTTTACATGACTTGGCCGAAGTTAGGATGACAGCATAACTCAAGGAGGCGTCCTCCTTGACTGTCCTCTGGGCTCTGGCACCGTGGCCGGGTGATCTCAGGCAAGCTTGTGGCCCTGTTTCTTGACTTGTCAAGCGACAGTGCTGGATCTAGATGGCTGCTAACATTCTACACGCTCAGATTCTTTTGAGCTCTGACCTACAAGAGTCTGACAGTCTGCGTTCTCTTTGCTGAGGCCACCTCTGGCCCTGAGACTCTGTCGTCCATGTTGGGAGAGAGCAGGGCATGATGGCCAGAACACCGGTCTGGGATCAGGAAAACCTGCGTTCACATCCCTCCTCTGACATTAACTGTGTGAGGAGCTAGACTGGGCACAGCGTAAAGAACATGATGAATCAGAGGGCCTGGGTTCGAGTCTCAGCTCCAATGATTTCTACATATGTAACCTTGGGAAAGTCAATTCACCTCCTGTAAAATGAGAGGCTCATACTGCGTGATCCCTTCCAGCTACCATGAGCTTCAGTTTCCTCATCGATAAAAGAAGTCC